CGGGATTAGGAAGATGAAGAAGGAAGGTTGCAGCATGGGAGGATGAGGAAGGAAGGTAGCTTTCGAAACCTAGACACATTAATAATAAATATCAAATTACTTGGGAAAGCCTTCCTTCCTCAGAGACCAGCTGGCTGTAATTCTCCAGTATCATATATCTACACATAATCTTCTAAGCAGGGTCCAGGTGCTGCCACTACTGCCAGATGAAGTCCGCTGTCTCATCCCCCAATGTCACTGGTCCCTGCAACAACACATGATGGCCCCATCTGCACTGATCATCCTTGGGTGATGAGAAAAGGTACATAGAAACTTCTTACCTCTAAAGTGCTGAAAATGTTCAGGGGTGAAAGATTCCTCATCTCTTTTGGACCCTGGAGGAGGCATTTGTTCTCTCACCTCCTAAGCAAAATAGCCAGACTTTGCAAAGATATAAATGGGCAGCTTTGTTGTGCAGCCCCAGAAACTGTCTTTTTTTTCAGTCTTCAGAGGCCCCCAAGCCCAAGTGGGTGGCTTTAAATTCTGAATCATGTCCTCTTACAGGGAACAAGTTACCAAACCAGAACTCATTTTCACATTTGAGAAAGAAGAGCCTTAGATGGCAGAGAGAAAAATCTAAAGTTGCATAGGTGAGGGAGCACTAGAAAGATTGTGTATAGTAGATGGAAGGAAGATTCCATCTGGTGAGTGGGAGGTTGACCCCTTTGATGTGCCATCAACATGTCATGTCTTCCTTAAAGGAGGTAGGCCTCTGGTGATTACAGGATATGGATGTGAGCTACTTAGATGAAAGGACATCTCCACGTCTCCCTGGAGTCTTTGCTTACCTTCGGGAAAGAACCCGCCCCCATTCCTTATCCTCAGGATCCGATCCCTGCTTCCTTCAGCTGGAATGAGCTTTATAGGTCAGTTTCCGCTTCCCAGGCCTCTTCACTTTCCTTCCCTCCATTGTCATCAACCCATTTATTTATGTGAATCTATAAATGTATAGATTTGTCCTTTTCCGAATTTGTGACTTGTGTTTCTCCTACGTCTTTCTCTCATCCTTGTAAAAAGCCTAAATGTGTTTTCTCCTAATGTTTTACAACCAGATTGTACCCCATCCAAATTTAAACTCCTCCCTTCGAGGATCTCCATTATGTGGCCCCATCACTTGTGTCTCTATGTCCTCCCAAATTCAAGTTATGATTTCTTTGTTTTCTAGTTGTTTGTTGGTGGTGCAAAGAAAAACAATTTCTGTAGTTCGAGCTTGTATTTGGCAACCTTGCTAAATTCACTTATTAATTCGAACACTTTGTAGATCACCTACAGAGATTGAAATTTTTTTTTTTGAAACAGGGTCTCACTTTGTTGCCCAGAATAGAGTGCAGTGGCATCATCATAGCTCACTGCAACCTCCAATGCCCGAGCTCAAGCAATCCTCCTCCCTCTGCCTCCTGAGTAGCTGGGACTACAGGTGTGTGCCATCACACCCAGATATTTTTCTACTTTTTGTAGAGATGGGGTCTGACTATGTTGCTCAGGCTGGTCTTGAACTCCTGGGCTCAAGCAATCCTCCTGCCTCAGCCTCCCAAAGTGCTAGGATTACAGGCCTGAGCCACCACACCCGACGAAAGTTTTATTTATTCACTTCCAGTCATTACTCTTTTTCTTATCACACTGCCTCAGACCTCTAGTACAACGCTGAGCAGCAGTCGGAATAGCAGACATCCTCGTCTCAGTCCCAATCTGAGGCGGAAAGCTTTTCCCATGTCACCATTAAATTTTGTTATGGTTTTTATTTTAAAACACATCCTTGGCTGGGTGTGGTGGCTTATGCCTGTAATCCTAGCACTCTGGGAGGCCAAGACGGGAGGATCGCTTGAGGTCAGGAGTTCGAGACCAGCCTCAGCAAGAACAAGACCCCAACTCTACTAAAAAAAAATAGAAAGAAATTAGCCAGGCAACTAAAATAGAAAAAATTAGCTGGGCATGGTGGCATATATCTTTAGTCCCAGCTACTCAGGAGGCTGAGGCAGGAGGATCACTTGAGCCCAGGAGTTTGAGGTTGCTGTGAGCTAGGCTGACACCACGGCACTCTAGCCCGGGCAACAGAGTGAAAATGAATGAATGAATGAATAAATAAATACACATCCTTTATCAGACTAAGGAGGTTCTCTTCTGTTTCTAGTTTGCTAAGAAATTATATTGTGAATGGGTGAATTTTACCAAATCTCCTTTTCTGTATATATAGAGATTATTTTATCATCTTTCACCTTTACTAATTACATTCACTAAATTGTCAAATTTATTGGCATAAATCTTTTTCATAATTCCCTTATTGTCCTTTTAATGTTTATAGAATCTGTAGTGATGTTCACAATATCATGGACATTTGAAAATTTCTGGGATTTTTTTTCCTTTTTCAGTCCAGTTTCTTACTTTTATTAATCTTTTCAAAGAACTAGCTTTGATTTTCTCCATTGTTTGTCCTCTAGAGGTCACAAAAACAAATGTGATCAAGGAAACTTGTAGGAAGTGTCAAGCATAGATAATAAGCTAGGTGCTTATGAGGTATGAACAAAACTCATAGGATATATAGATAACGAGTATAAACAAGTAGCTTATGAGACACAGGAAGAATTCATAAGATGCATTATAGTTAGCAAGTTACTAACTTGTAAGATACACTAAATATAAATAGAATACATGGACTATATGATAGAACAAACAAGGGTATTACTTATAAAATAGGGATGGGAACACCAAGTCATAAGGTATCCTACCAGCTGAACTACATTATACTTAAATTGGTCACCACTTGGTGATACTCAGTATTGTTCCATTGAACAAAGATAAAACCCACCACTGTCCAGGAGGCTAACTGGTGAGCTACAGCTGAGGTAAGCAGGGTATGTCATTGGCCCTGAGCACCTTCAGTCTGATTGGGCCCCTTTTTCAAACCTCAACTCTGGTCCTCATAACCAATGAGGCTGATGCAACAGACACAGAGGCAGGGTCTATGAACATTGCATAGCATAGGATTCAGGAATTGTGGGCCTTTTACCCTGTTTGTACCCTATCCTAAGTGTGTTAACTTACCCCATCTCTTTCCTTTGCTTCTTGGTGGTTGTTTTTTTAATATTTTGTGTTTTTCAAAAATTGATTGAATAAGCCATGTGACTCGAGAATTTTAATTTGGTCTGTGAACCTTTCTATTCTGGGACCTCTGGGGTAGCTTGCCTGGTAGCACATCAGAGACTACCATTGTATAAAGGGGATTTCTCACATTTACAGGCCCCCAAAGGATGAGGTGATAAGAGATCATAATCTATAGTTTGGAGATTTTACCTAAAGAAATAAAGGCAGTAATATGAAATAATTGGTTAAAATATTGGGAGCCCAGTACCGATCTGTGTGGTTGTAGGGCCAGTCAAGGGTCACAGGGCTGATCTTAGGGATCCCAGGGTAGTCTTGAGAGCCCTAGGGAACAAGTTGAGGAGGGATATTCTTATTCTAGAAGTTTTAGCCATAGCAATAAGACAAATTAACTGGCATAAACAATATGGGGATCAAACTAAGGCTGGCCTAAGGGCACAAAAGAGCTGATTTGGGGGAGGTGTCACCTCTTTTGGTGAGGCCTCTCCCCATAAGTGTATATAAGTAAGAACATGGAACACAGAGGTGACATTCACTGAGCACTGTGTCCAGAAGTGCATGCTATTCCCATCTCGTACACCTGTGGTCACTGCAGGGTCCCAAGGACAACTCCACTTGGTGCAGAAACCCTAGTGACCACATCCTGCCTCCTCCACTCAACTCCCCATAGCCATCACCATGAGGCTGTGCACTGCTGAGACCCTATAATCCCTGATACCACAGATCCCCAATCACTCACCCCAAGGAGCGCTCCCCATTCTCCCATTCCAGCACAGTCGGACCACCTTGACTGCCCAGCACGCTTCCTCTTGTCACTCATTAATGCCACACCATGCTTTGGCCACCCACTGCCCTGCAATGCTCTTCACTCAGCCCCATTCACCACCATCATTCCTACTGTGCTTCGTATTACTCCCAATTTACTCCACTCTGCCCACTCACTCACTCCCGCTCTACTCATTGCTGCTTTCCCCAACATTACTCATGTTTACTTACACTTGACTGTTTCTTCTCCAGTAACACCTGTCAGCCCCACATTTCCTCTTCCTGAAAAGGCTCTGAATGTGACGTGTCTGACTTATATAGCTCATTAGGAAAGTGAACCCCTGTTCATTTTCTTAGGATAATTCAGGGGGAAAAGGGCAGCCTGGGAGGGCACAGACAAGGTCTCAGGTCTAACTCATCCACTTGCTTTGATAAACCTGAACATTGCCCATCCTCAGGTCTTACATAACTTGGGCTGCCCAGTCCCACTACAGAGATGGCCCCACTGAAAAACCCCAGAAGTGCAGGGGCCACAAATAGAGTAATTCGCAAGCAAAGCCTCTCATTCTGAGGCAAATGTCCTGTTATGTGGTCTTTGGCTGTGTCCATTCAGACCATCACTCTCAATCTGTCCCTAACCTTGGAAAATCTGTGTCACCTCAGGAGCGAGTTACTCAACTTGTGTATTCATGTTTTATACCTCTTGTAAAAAGCGTGTGTCTATGTGTGTATTAATGAAGTAATTTAAATCATTTTGTTAAGATATAGGAAGACATTGGTAGGCTTTAGTACAGGATCTTTTCACGTATGTCCTGTGCATACTAAATAAGAAATGTATTCCAGTCTCATTTATTTTAGGTTTACCTAATGTGGTCCCAGCTGACCCAAAAATCACTTTATTTGGCACCCTCAGGAAAATATAATGCCTAAGTAACTTTGGAATTAATGGAATATCTGTTGTTCTGTCTGCCTGGTTATTCAATTTATTCATTCAAAAAAATTAAACACCACATTAAGCACATCCATATCTTCATAATGCTATGAAGTCCTATATCTAGCCTCTGACTTTATTCTTTAACAGTAATAGGATAATATGTGCTTTTTAAAATGTTTTCTTTATTTTTTGAAAAGGCAGTACAACCACACAGTACAATTTTCAAAGGCTATTAAAGGATACACAGTTATCTCCCTCCCAATTCCATCCCCCCTGCCACCACTGCCTCTTCCCCGAGGTAATCAGGGTTACCATCTTCTTGTGTCTCTTTCCAGAGATAATTCATACATACACAACCAATTATGTACTTACCATTTTTCTCCTTTTTATGTACAAGTGGTAGCAGATCATACTCACTATCCTGTACCTTACTTTTCCTACCTAAGAGCATAACTTGGAGATTATTCCACACCACTACATAAATGGTATCCAAGTTCTCTTTATTAATTCATTTTGTCTACCTAGGAATATGCTGTGTGAATATACCACAATTTCAGGAAACAGAACCTGGTGGTGTCATTTAGATAGCTTCCAATCTTTTGTTTTCACAAATAATGCATCAATGAATACCTCTGTATGTTCATCATTTTGTACACATGTGAGTATATACATTCCTAGGAGTGGAATTTCTGGCTCCAAAACCATGTGCATTTGTGGTTTTGATTACTTCTGAATCATTCCTCTTTGAATGAGAAGAGTTTTTTCTGGACTTGCTATTTGCTGGAGGTTCATGTGGGGAAGGAACCAGGCCACATTCTGGGCAGATCAGTTTTTCTAACAACTGGGATTTTTTTCCCACGTGTTAGTTCTTTCAGATTTTACTTCTCCTGAGTCAGTAAACGGGTAGCTGCGGGGCTCTTCACAAGGAAAAGCCCGTTCTCTTCCCCTAGAACCCCCCGCCCCAACTGTTGCTCCCATCAGTACAGACTACACTCTACAAATATGGCTTGTCTCAGTGATTCCTTGTTGAGGCTACTCTATGTTTCTCCTCAGACCGCAAATGGTCTAGGAAGCATCCTACCTCCTACCCGCCCATGCACTCTGTTTCTGTTGTTTATGGTTCTGCACCTCAGGGTAGCTCCTGAACCTCAGCTAAGAGTCCTTACCAGTGCTGTCTCACATCTGCAGCCTTGAGCACTCTCTCTCTCTCTGAAATCTCCTGCACCGGTGCTTGATTTCCTCTGCCAGTCCTCTTGTCAGGGTTTCAGCTGTCTCCTAATTTTGTCAGATACAGAGATTATACTTCTGCTTCTTTTTCTCCTGTAGCTTTTGGATCAAGACTGAGATGAAAAGAAGAAAGGCCAACTTTATTCCCCATATTTAAACCAGAAGTCTGAACATATTTTTAAAATGTTAATTAAATTGACACAACTTTCCTTCAGTGTCCAAAACAGACACTGTTGATTTACTTTCTAATGTGCGATGAGCTTTGACTTCCGGGTGTGGCCTCTTACATAGGCTTTCTTTCCTGTGTGGGTTCTCTGGTGTACAATAAGGTTTGACTTTTGGGTAAAGGCTTTCCCACATTCCATACACTTATAGGGTTTCTCTCCAGTGTGAGTTCTTTGATGTACAGTGAATGTTGATTTTTCTCTGAAAGCTTTGCCACACTCAGTGCATGCATAGGGTTTCTCTCCTGTGTGTGTTCTCTGATGTATTATGAGCTGTGACTTCTGGCTAAAAGCTTTCCAACACACAGGACATTCATAGGGTTTCTCTCCTGTATGAATTCTCTGATGTATAATGAGCTTTGACTTTTCTCTGAAGGCTTTGCCACATTCATTACATTTATAGGGTTTTTCTTCTGTATGAGTTCTTTGATGTATAATAAGATATGATTTCTGGGAAAATGCTTTTTCACATTCATTGCACTCATAGGGTTTCTCTCCTGTATGACCTCTCTGATGTAGCATGAGATAGGATTTCTGAGAAAAGGCTTTCTCACATTCATTACATTCAAAGGGTTTCTCTCCTGAGTGAGTTCTCTGATGTACACCAAGGTTTGACTTTTGAGCGAAGGTTTTTCCACACACATCACATTCATATGGTTTCTCTCCTGTATGAGTTCTTTGATGCACAATAAGGGTTGACTTCTCATTGAAAGATTTCCCACATTCAGTACATTTATGTGGTTTCTCTCCCGTATGAGTTCTCTGATGTATAATGAGAGTTGACTTATCACTGAAAGTTTTCTTACACTCATTACATTCATGGGGTTTCTTTCCTGTATGGGTACTATGATGTATAATTAGATCAAGCTTCTGTATGAAAGATTCTCCACATTTAGTGCATTCATAGGTTTTCTCTCCTGTGTGGGTTTTCTGATGGACAATGAGGTTTGACTTCTGAGTGAAAGCTTTTCCACATTCATTACATTCATAAGGTTTCTCTCCTGTGTGTGTCCTGTAATGTATAATGACAGTTGACTTTTCTCTGAAGGCTTTTCCACATTCAGGACACTCAAAGGGTCTCTCTCCTGTATGGGTTCTCAGGTGTATAATGAGCTGAGATTTTTGGCTAAAGGCTTTTCCACATTCAGTACATCCAAAGGGTTTCTCTCCTGTATGAGTTCTCCAATGTACAATGAGGTGTGACTTCTTGCTGAAGGTTTTCCTACATGCAGTACATTCAAAGGGTTTCTCTCCATTTTTAATTCTCTGGTGTAGACTAAGGCCTTTCTTTCGCCTGAGGGCTTTCCCACACTCTTTATATCCATAGGGTATCACTCCAGGATTTGTTTTCTCATACTCAGTATGGAAGAATAATTTCGCACATCCACTATCATATTTCTTTTCTGCAGAACTTCTACTAAATAAGTCTAAATTATCTACAATATTATTTCCAAATGGTTCATATTTATGGGGTCTTTGTATTGAAACAACAAGGTTTGTACTCAGATGAAGTGTGTTTCCAAATTCATTACAGTCACGGCCACTCTTGGTTCTAACTGTTTCCTTGTCAGGAAATCCAACTTGCATCAACAGACATTTATGCTGATCATCCTGATGATGCCTCTCAATCTGTTCATCAACTTGGCAGACTTCTTCTAGAAAGAAGTACAATAAATCGTCTTTATACTTTGACATCATGGAATGGACCTTCTTTAGAAACACCCTGCCATATGAAAGCTGATAGTATCATCTCATTTTATCAGAGTTCCTAGAGAAAGAGTCTTTTACCAAACTGCGATATGCTGATCTTTTTGTTACCAGGAACAACTTTACCTTGACACCTCAGTCTTTCTTACCTCTACTTTTACATCACTTATGACTTCCATCAACTCTGAGGACCTTATTGCCATTAATCTTCAGTTATCATATGAACTCTTAACTGTACCTGACTTATACTATTAATATTTCCACCTAGGTAGAAATGCAACAGTGTGATTCCTGGACTGAAGTCTTATAATAACACTGAATCCACACTGTCAGTGAATGAGAGAAAAATCTAGAATAATTAGCCTGACAAAACAAAGAAAAAACTAAAAATCTTTGCCCAATATGGGTTCACTCGTGGTATCCACCCAAGCTTGCATTCGAAGTTCTTCAACACCACCTTCTCTGCTCCTGTGTATGCTATTTCCACTAAAAACTCTGCCTATTAACTCCAAATCCTTTCTCATGTTCTGTCACTCACATAGCCCTGTCCTCCATACTTTGCTATATTCAGAATCTAGATAACTTTCAGGAGGCAGCTCAGTCTTTTCAAAAAAACTTATTCTAATCTTCCTATATAACTTTTTACTAACTTCTAAAGTAGTCAGTCATATGTACCACTCATTTAAACAAGTTAAAATTGCAAAGTCTTGCCTATAATTTCATATTTCATCAATTGCAAAATGCACATTATTTTACATTTTAACATCTCTAAGTCTGGATGTACCTTACAATTAATGACATGTCATAGATTAACTGCTGGCAATTTTTCTTAGTGGTATGTCTTTCAATCCATGGTATATTGAAGTCAATAAAATATGGTATTTTTTTGCATGTATATGTGAATGTTTAATCATTTTTGTAGTTTACTTTTCTTCTCACTATTCCCTAAAATTTCATATGAAAATTTTCAAGCATAAAAAAATAGTTGAAAGAAGAGTACAATAACTATTCATTACCACTTAGATTCAACATTCTGCCATAGGAATACTGAATTTTAAAATGTATTATGCAGCTGTGATTTCACTTCCTATGATTTCCTTTCATTGGATAACTAAGCCCTAGTTATTAACTAAGGATGAACACAAAATCACAGGAAGAGCTTTTATAATTTGTGCTTCATGGACCCCAGGCTCCACCAAGGATCTGCTAAATATGAACCTCCTTAGGTGATAAGAAGCAATATGGCCCATGTGGTTAGGGTCGTGGCCTCTCTGCCTCAGAAGCAAATCCTGCATCACCATTTCACTTGATCTATGACCTTAGGCAAGTGATCTAATCTATCTGTATCTTACTTTCCTACCTGTAAAGGAATTACAACAGTGTCCACCCAAATGGATGTTGATAAGATTAAATTACTTATAACAGGGCATGCATGGCACATAGGAAGTGCTTTCAAATGTTTATACTACTACTACAACTACTACTATTATGATTATTAAAAGCTACTACATTACTGTAAAAAGAAATAAGGAGTATCTATATACTTAATATGTTCTTGAATATTAAGTGAAAAAGGTGGTAAATAAAACTGTGCATAGTAGGAAACGAATATATAAATATATACATATATGTTCATGTTGTAAAAAATGATGGAATAATAAACCTGTAAGTTTTAATAAAGGTTACCTATGGGGGAAGGAAGGAAGGTAGTAGAATGGAGAAGGAAAGAAGCTGGACTTCTCTGAATATACCTTATTTACTAGATTTGACTTTGGAACAAAGTAAATATTTTATAAATATTTTATGTAATCATAAAGCAAAACTGAATATAAAAGAATTCCTTAGTAACAGTAAACATCCCTTCATCTGCATTTCATAACAACCAAGTTGAAAGAAGAGTATAATAACTACTCATATTAGATTTAGATTCAACCATTCAACCATTTAGATTCAACATTTTGCCATAGAAATACTGAATTTTAAAATGGATTGTGCAGTTATGGTTTCACTCCTGTGACTTCCTTTCATTGGATGGCTAAGCCCTAGTTCTTAATCCTAGTTCTTAATGTTGAAAAGTCTTGATTCTCAATGGCACCAACATGATTACCTCAATTCATTCAATCACTATATACACACAATAGTCTCAGAAGAATACTAAGAATACTACCATCAGATGTGGGATTAATAATTTTAGAAACTTTAAGTCCAGAATTTGATTTGGAAATATCAATTTGAATACATAAGGTATTTTTTCTGTAAAAAATGTATACATAGTCCCTAGTTCTGTCAATGAAAAGCCCTAAAAATTATTCCCTAATATCTACATTGTGGACTTAAAACATTATTTTCCACTAAAACAAACCAGGGCTCCTTGGAGAAATGGCCAATTCCAAGTCAGAGTCAGGAAATATACAAAATGAGCCTGGAACATGTTGTAACACCAGAAAGCAAGGAAGCTACCAAAGACTCAGGAGCCAACTTGGAGGAGTTTCCACTGGCCAAAGATAAGAGAGTTTGATTTATAATAAGTATAATAAGGCAATGGATTAAAACATAAAAATGTTTAAATCCATAAGTCCATAAATGACATGCATATAAAAGATATAATTCATTGGTCATCTTTGGATGATGCTAGAAAACCAACTCATTATTTTGAAAACTGGTAAGTAAATAGAAAAACAATCACTTAGCCTGTCTTTTCTATATAATATGTAACTCATGGTAACCAAATAATAGATGAGAAGCAATTTCTCTTGGTAGAATTATTCCAGCTAATCAATGAAGAAATGATAGAATATCACCATTTTGCAGCCATTAATGAATTAATGGATCTAAGCAGTAATCATCAATGACTAGTAACAGAACAAGAAGTGACAACTATGCATTACATGCCTCCTGGTGGAAGTAGCTAGAAGTAATCTTGCTAAAAGAAAAAATAAAAACCTGAATCTGATCCAGGTTCTACACCTAACTATGAACTTACAAGAAATACAGAGGACTATGTTAAATACCACTATGAGGTGATAAAATCCAGAATGTGGAAAACTAAAGGCCAAATGACCCAGTTACTTAAAAAATAAATATTAGGGGGAAAAGAGAGATGGAGGGGAATGAATCATCTATAAATTATAAGAGACAAGAATCTCAGGAGCTATGAGTATTCCCAGTACCCAGATCCTGATTTCTAAATATTATACTCACTAATAGATATCAGACATCTTTGGAAAAATTGCTGATTTCAGGTCTGAAATGGGGAAAGTACAAGGTGAACCTGGAATATATGTTTGTGCTATAAAGTCAGGAAATCCTCAAAGAATGATGGGGACACGTTAAAAGGACAAAGCCACCCTGAACGGACTTGTACTAGCCAAACTAAGGACAATTTCAACATGAAAATGAATAATGATAGTAATGGATGATAGCACATTGAAAAATAAAAATCGACCATCTTATTAATAACTGATTCAGGAAAGAATCATCACTGAATGTTAAAACCACTGGGTAAAAGTTTTTAAGAAACAGGATATTTATGCAGTTTGACAGTTCCTCAAAATGGTAAACATATAGTTACCATATGGTACAATAATTCTAACCCTATGTATCTACCCAAAAGAAATCAAAACATACATTACTACAAAAACTTGTACATGAATGTTCATAGCAGCATTATTCATAACAGCCCAAAAGTGGAAACAACCAAAGTATCCATCAATGGATGAATAGATAAACAAAATATGGCCTATATATGCAATGGAATATTATTGCTCCATAAAAAGAATGAAGAACAGATATGCGCTACAATGTGGATGTTGAAAACATGCCAAGTGAAAGAAACCAAATATAAAAGACCATATTTTATATGATTCCATTTATATGAAACGTCCAGAATAAACAAAATCATAGAGACAGAAAGTAGTATAGTGGTTGCCAAGGAATGGGAGTAGGAGGGAATGGAGAGTGACTACTAAGGAGCAAGGGTTTCTTTTGGGGATGATGAAAATGTTGTAGAATTAGATAGTGGTGATGGTTGCACAACTCTATGAATATACTAAAAACCACTAAATTGTACACTTTTAAAGAGTGAATCTTGTGATGTGTGAATTATATCTCAATAAATCTACTTTTAAAAAATAGATAATCAAGATGTTTTGGGAAAACAAATCTGACAGGAATATCTAAGCTGAACAAGAACAAAGGAGTCAGGTTATCCAATCTGGAATTAGAGCATTAGAATCCAGGCCTGTGACTAATGTGGGCCTGACTTCAGATAAGTAAGTGATAGGTGAGAATCGTTAAAGTGGCAGGGCCTGGGTGGTAGCATGTAATAGACATATATGGAACAAAAGGAACTATGCAGAAACTTACAGGTGAGCACCAACTTAAGGAGAGTGAGTAGTATGGCATGTGGGAGACAGGGGAGGGAGTATCAGTCTTATGTTTGAGGTATTCACGTTCCTGTCCTCCAACAGTGTCAAAGGGCCACAACCTTTTCTTAAGATATTCCTGAAAGTCCTTTCGGAGGGCCTCACCTCTGACTGATAGGCTGGAGCCTCATGCCCAGGGCCTGGGTCAATCCCACTCACCTGGAAAGCTCCAAATTGGGATTCTTCCTTCTTCCGGGAATTCTTTTACCTCCAACTTGAGGATGAGGTCTGGTTTAGTAACCTGCTGCCCTATTAATGAGAAATGACAGAGATACCTCCTTGGTCTTTAGAGCCTCTGAGACAGAGGAAGTTGCAGTTTGGGGGCAGCACAAGGGACCTATCACTAACACAATTGTAAAGTCAAACCACTTAACCTGGGTTTTGAGTTCACAAACACCTAGTCACAAGAGGTAAAGGGGGAATTGAGAAAGAAAAGGTCCTCTATTGGATACGATAATCATAAATAGCAAAATTACCTGAGGAAGCCATCCTTACCCACAGAGACCAGGTTGCTGTAGGTCTCCAACATCACGTCTCTGTACAGGGTCCTCTGTGGAAGGTTGAGGTACTGCCACTCCTCCTGGGAGAAATCCACAGCCACGTCCTCAAATGTCACTAGTTCCTGTAATGGTACATTCCTTTTATTTTAAAATGTTGGCGACTGGGTAATAAAGCTAGAATGTAGGGGGACTTCTGATTGGGTTTCCAGTTCATCATAATGACAATACTAGATGTGTATTTCATATCAAGTTAGTGACCTACTTTGTGGGAAAATCACAAATCACGGTGGAAAAATATTCCATTAATAGAATATTTAAAGACAGTGTGGTATTAGCACAAGGATAGAGAAATAGTCCAGTGGAGCTAGAAAGAGAATCCAAACATGTATATATACCTGATTTATGACAAAGTTGGCACAGTAAAGCAGTTGAGAGAAAATGATCTTTTCAATAAATGTAGATGGGTTATTGGATATCTATATTGGGACAAATGAAATGTAACCCCTGTTACCATACAAAAAAATTAGCTACAGGTAAATTATAAATCGAATGTGAGAGGTAACCAATAAAGTGTCTAATAAATAATATAGGGAAATATCTTCCTAAGCTTGGGATAGGGAAAGAATTCTGAAACAAGGCATGTAAAGCAGCACTCATAAAGGAAAAGACTTGTAAGTGTCACAAGAGTAAAAGTACTGCAGTGAAAAGGCAAACCACACATGGGGAGATTATTGGCAATCTTAATGAGTGATAAAGGAGTCTTATCTGGAATATAGAAAATAACCCCTACAAATCAATAAGAAACATACAAATAACACAGAAGAATAGACGAGAAGTAAATAAGTACTTCACTAAAAAGGAAAAACATGAACATGCTCTATGAACATCAGAAAATGTACTCAACCCCATTAGTACTCAGGTAAATGAAAATTTAAGCCACATAGAGACACCAATATGCACTCACCAAAAAAAGTTATAATCAAGCATGCTAAAATACCATAATATTGTGTTGAAATGGGAACTCTCACACACTGTTAGTAGGAATGTAAGCTGGTATAATCACTTTGAGACCAGTTTGGCATTATTTACCAAAGTTAATGATTTGCATATACCATGACCCAGCAATTCTACCCTTAGGTATACACCTTGGAGAAAATTATGCACATGTGCTCTAGAAAACAAGTGTAGGGATGTTCACAGCAGCACTATTTTTAATACTAAATCATGGAAGAACTCCAAATGTCCATCAACAGTAGAAAGGGTAAATTATGGCACAGTGATTCAGTGGAATGCTGTGTAGTAATGAAAAGGAATAAACTGCCATTGCATGTTGTGAAGCAGGTTCACTGTGCACTGGTTACCAACTTGTCTGAGTCCAGTGAGACAGAATACCCCTATAAAGAAGTTACAGGGAGCACATTTATTACTTACAGACAGGGAGCAAGGGACAACAGAAACCTAGGATTCATTGTGAGCTGGTCCCCCAAGGCTCAGGAAAGCTGCACAAGGTGGATGGAGTCTCATCTGTGTGTACCCCACTTTCACCACAGCTGATAGACCCTAGAAAGCAGCCTTCCTTGGGTTTTATACCTTGGGGGGCCACATGGCACACTAGGCTAAAGTCCTGAGGAACATCCAGTTTCCAAGAGGTGACCAGAACAGAGCCCACGCTATTCTGGCCAGCTCCTCCCTTATATCAGGATGTTACATTCCCAACACATTATACAGTTATTCTTGAAAACTGTAAGTAAGAAAGGAGGGAGAAGTAGGTCAGTCCAAGGCTACCCAGAGAACTGCACATGTCCAACAAAGATGAATGTCAAAGGTGTACTGATGACCAAAAGAAATCAGAAACAAAAGAGTACATACTGCATGATTCTATTTATATACAGTAAGAGAACAGGCAAGGCTAATCCATGATGTTAGAAGTCAGGATAGTGATTACTTTTGTAGGTGGCAATGACTTTGGGACAGGGTGTGAGAGGAGATTCTTTGGTCCCAATTATGCTTCATATATTGACCTAGGTGGTGGCTACACAGTGTGTTCACTTTGTCATAATTCATCAAGCTATACACTTTTAAACTGTATACTGTACACTTACATAACATACACTGTGTATGTTATTCTTAAATGTGCTTTATATCTTTACACATTTTTATTTTTGACAAAAGCACAGAGGCAACTCAATGGAAAATAGGAGTTCCTGTTTCAACAAATGGTTCTGGAATAATTGGATATCCATATGCCAAAAAAAGAACCTCGATTAATACCTCCAACATACATAAAAATGAACTCAAAATGGATCATAGACCTAAACCTATAATATTATATTTCTAATAAGAAAATATGAGAGAAAATCTCTTTAACCTTGGGTTAGACAAATATTTCTTAGATGTGACACCAAAATCCAAAAGACACTGTTAAGAGATTGAAAAGACAAGCTAGAGAATGGAAGAAAATATTTGCAAATCAAATATCTGGCAAAGAACTTGCATTGAGAATATATAATGAACCCTCAAAACTAAAAAAAAAAATAGGCATAAGAGAGATACTTCCCCAAAGAAGATATATAGATGGCAAATATTAGTCATGAGGGAACTGCGAATTAAAATCACAATGAGATACTACCACACACCTATTAGAATCAAGAAAAAAACCTGACAATACTAAGTGCTGGTGAGTATATGGAGCAACTGGACCTCTCCTATCACAGCAGGAATGCAAAACAGTACACAACCACTTTGGAAAATGGTTTTCCAGTTGTTTGTGAAGTTAAGCATATACTACCATGCAACCCTGCAATCCCACTCCCAGGTATATTTATCCCAGTGAAGTGAAAACTTATGTAAACCCAAAAGCCTGTGTGAACATTTATATAGCAGCTATTAATATATTTTTAATCACTGAAACCTGGAAACATACCGAACGCTTTTCAATCAGTGAATAAACAACGTGGAATCCATACAACGTAATACCACTCAGCAATAAAAATGAAATAACTATGATACATGCAACAACATGGATGAACCTCAAATATATTATACTAAGCAAAAGGAGCTGGACTCAAAAAAAGGATACATGCTATATGATTCCATTTATATAATATCATGTGAAAGGCAAAACTACAGAGACTAAAACTATATCAGTGACTGCCACAGGCCAGGGTTTTGCAAGGGTTTGATTATAAAGGGGACACACTGGGAGATGACAGAACTCTTCTATAGCTTTATTGTGGTGGTGGTAACATAACTTTATGGGTTTGTCAAAACTTGAAGAACTATACGCTAAAAAATGTCCATTTTACTGTACATAAATTATATCTTAATTTTTTTTTATTTCAGCATATTATGGGGGTACAGATGTTTAGGTTACGTATGTTGCCCTTGCCCCCTCCCCAAGTCTGAGTTTCAAATATGTCCATCCTTTGGGTGGTGCGCATTGCACTCTTTGTGTATGCATATACCCGTCCCCTCCTCCCTCCTCC